TGGCCAGGGTCTAAAATCTTGGGTACCGCTGCCAGGGACGATCTCGTGAAGGCTGCAATGCAGACAAGATATAGGAAGGACCGGGAGAGATTGGTCGCGGGCGGACTGTGTGGACTAAGGGGCGTCCCTGGTGTACGTCGCGTTCAGCTAGACACAACCAGCATACAGCTCGGTTCATTGTTCCGGGGGATGAGCTTGGCGCTCGCAGCGGCTTCTCTCGTCACGATCAGGGTTCGCAAGCTCTTGAATGTGAGTGGCAGAACACCCGGAATACACATGCTCAGAGAGGGCAAGGGGAAATTGAGACTGACGTATGCACGCAAAACCCCTCTTGGGCTCTTCGGGCACACGGGTTTGGCCTTGCTGTTTGAGTGATCTGTTTGGCCAGCCAGACCGCTGATTGAGCGATATGCTTGCGCGGCAAAACCTGATTGGAAAATTAGACTGCCTCGAGAAACCCTCGAACGGGGGATCTACGCGCTCGATGGCTCGAGTGATCTGTTTCCCCTGTTAGCCCGTGAAAGTATTGGCTGGGGGGGGAAGACTCAGCAAGAGGAGAGACACTTGGCAGTGTGCCTGGGGAGCGTAGCGCTCCCCATCTTCTTGACACGAGGTCACCACCTTCTAATGGCGGATCGGAGAGATGGGCTATCGTAGTTAGCGTGCCGGCCTCCCCGAGTCGTGAGCTCTGAGATGGGAGCGAGCTTGCCAAGTGCCAAGCGACCAGCAATGACATTTGAAGTGGGCCGGCGCAACGCCCTTGAGGGAGAAGTGAAGCGAGGTTGTTCGCCTTCACGAACCCAATCAGTGATTGCATGTCTGAAATGATAGCTGGCCACTAACTTGTCCTCAGAGTGTGGTGGAAATCGAAGGTCAGCGTCTCAGAAAGACGAGAGAGTGAGGGAATGCATGTGAATGGAAAAGAAATCAGTGAGTCTCCTCGTAAGCAATGTTGTCTGGCTCGAAAGTTGATCAGGTACTTTTGAACCTTGATCATGGAGGATGAGTAAGAGTGGGAGAGGGGCGCTGAACGCATAATTGATATCAAAAGACACTATGTTTGTTGCATGACTGAAGACATAAACCGTGCACTCGTGACTTCAGTTCCAGGTGAACCGCCGGAAGGGGCCGTATCATGCTATCGAAACCGAGGTATCTAGCGAACACTTACAGAGTTAAATATCACTCGACCTCGTCAAAGCCGGCTTCATCTATGTCGCGGCAACCACGTATTTGATCACGGAAAGCCCCTCCATTCTCAACTGACCTCTGCCCTATTACACTGCTTCGCCGGCTGGCTGGATGGGGAGTCCGTTGATGTAATGTGCGTCTATGGGTGATAACCAGTAAACAGTCAGACTCCTGAGCCAAGAAAAGGGGGGAGATGGTGAGACCGACAGAACGGGAGAAAGCAAGAAATTGAGTGTGGAACGGTGAATGAGATCGAGGGAAAATGTCGCGAGGGAAAACAGTGGGGGAGTGAGATCGAAACAGTGAGATTGAGGAGAAGTTGGGGTGCGACATAGCGGTGAAACTGGTGAGATGAAAAAGGGTTTTGAGAGCATGAGTGAAAAAGTAAGCGGAGGTGAAGACGGGCGGGACAGGGAGCTGGTTTTTCTTTAATACTATTAGTATTTCGATCATTATTCCGTATTCGGGTACATTTGAGCTTGCCAACGATCTGGCTGGGGAGGCGGGGATAAGGCTATTTAACGGGTGCATCAGGGAAAAGGGAGAAAAGGCGAGAGGAAAAGGGACTCGAGAAGAAAGAAGACAGAGAGAGATCAGACTGGAAGGAAGCGAGTGAGTGAAAAAGGGAGAGAGAGGAAGAGAGACTATATACGCAGAGAGGGAGAGGGAGAGAGAGATACACTTTGAAAGTCGACTATCTGCAGACAGGTTAAAGTGGCGCCTCTCGGGCGGCTTGACTGAATAGTGGAAGGAGATATGATTCCCTGATTGGCACTTCATTACCCATCCCTGTGCTGTTCTTTTGGAAAGCTGGTCAATATTTTGCTCTGTCCAATATTCGCCTCTCTTATCTAATTGCCTTATCCTGTTTCTTTCTTTTAAGGCACTGTTCTGAAGCGCGTCAGTAAAACACCCCTGATCAGATTAAACCTGGATTCTGAAACCGTCTGAGGAGAGAGAACATTTTAATTGAGTAATGTAAGTCGTTATTTTTTTTTCCCTTTTTTTCGCGCTCTGATAATGCCAAAAAGTTCTCCTTAGAATATGACGGGAGACAAGCGACACTCAAAAGCTTTCCTACTGGTCGCTGAGGACCTCGGAAGTAGGCACAACGAGTGACAGGCGTTGTTGCCCTTGGCTTTAGCGAACAGCAGGCGACCCGTCCCCGGGTTTCCTCACACCGGGGCTTGGCAACCTCGAGGTAGTACATGCCCAATAACATGTCAAAGGGCATCTCGTCGCTCACCAGGAATGATATCTTATGGTTTCTCTCTCCTCCTGGGTAGGAGAAGGTGCAGACTACATCTTTAACGTAGTCCTCCACCATCATGTCTCCCAAGGAGTTAGAGGAGCTTCGGAGACAGTTAGACGAGCTCCTAGAAAAAGGATGGATCAGGCCTAGCTCGTCACCATTTAGCGCACCTGTTCTATTCGTCCCAAAGAAAGTGGGGAACTACGTATGTGCATAGGCTACAGGGGACTGGACGCCATCACAATTAAGAATGCAGAGCCATTGGCGCGTATAGACAACTTGCTAAATCGCGTGCAAGGATGTGAGTATTTTTCAAAGATAGATCTAAAGTCAGGATACCATGAGGTAGAAGTTCATCCCGACGATCAGTATAAAACGACATTCAGGACAAGGTATGGGCATTATGAGTTCATAGTGATGCTGTTTTGACTAACTAACGCACCAGCTCCATTTCAGCGCTGCATGAATGACTTGTTTAGGTCGTGGTTAGATAGATTCGTTGTAGTCTATTTAGACGATATCTTAGTATTCAACAAGACCCTCGAGGAATATGAGGTTCATCTACAACAGATTCTAAGCAGGCTGAGAGAGTCCAACTTCAAGATTAACCCAAAGAAGTGTGAATGGGCCAAGACACAGGTGCTTCACCTAGGCCATGTACTAGACGGCGACGACATTCGGCCTGAGGACAGCGAGATTGCATCCATAAGAGACTGGCCAACTCCTAAGACGTTGATAGAGTTGCGCTCATTCTTAGGACTGGCTAACTACTATAGGAAGTTTGAAAGGAACTTCTCGACGATAGTTACTCCCCTTCGTAGGTTGCTGAAGAAAGGGACTATATGGAAGTGGGACCAGGATTGTATGCCAACCTGCAAGAAGTTGAAGAAGGCCTTAATAGAGTACCGTGTCCTCAAAGTTGTTGATCCTTCACTACCATTTGTTGTCACTATAGTCGCTAGTCAGTATGGCATAGATGTCGTTTTGCAGCAAGATGACGGCAATGGTTATAGGCCCGTAGAGTTCATGTCAGTCAGGCTGCCTTCAGAGAAAGGCGCAACATCGACATATGAGAGAGAACTCTACGCTCTCAGGCAGGCTTTAAACCAGTAGAAGCACTACCTGCTTGGGAGGCACTTCGACGTATATTCTGATCACGAGACTCTTCGATGGCTAAAGACACAGGCCAAGATGACGCCCAAGTTGACTAGATGGGTTGCATAGATAGATCAGTTTCACTTTGAGTTAAATCCTGTGAAAGGAAAGTACAACGTGGTAGCCGATGCTCCGAGTAGGAGAGCTGATTACTTCGGCGCGATAGTGCACTATGTAGACATAGGGGCCGACGTGCAGCAAAAGATCAGGGATGCATATGCTCAGGCCCCGACCTACAGTGAATCAATGAAGACCAATGTTGCTGACAAACTATGCGTCCCTTATAGCGAAGAGATCCGTAGCCTGATCTTAGGGGAATGCCACGATATAGAAGGGCACTTTGGATGGCAAAAAACTTTAGCTAACCTGATGATGTCATGTATGTGGCCAGGTATGAAAGCAGATTGCATACAGTATGTGCGCAATTGCAAGGTATGCCAGCGGAATAAAACTACAACTAGAGCCCTGCTAGGTCTTCTTAGACCCTTGCCTATTTTGCAGGACCCGGAGATTCAATTTCCGTTGACTTCATGGATACTGGGTCAAGAGTAGGCACGACAAGACTCAAGTCATGGTCATAGTAGATGGGTTTAGCAAGTATGCAGTATTTGTTCCCCTGCCTTCAGTAGATGGGTTTAGCAAGTATGCAGTATTTGTTCCCCTGCCTTCAGAGGCACGTACAAACTTAGTCATTCGTAAGTTTTTTGACTTCTGGGTAAGCAAGCATGGTATGCCGCTGTCCATAGTGAGTGATAGGGACACGCGCTTAACTAGTTAGAATTGGCAGGATCTTATGAAAGTCTATGGGTCTAAGTTGTTGATGTCGTCAGGACGACACCGAGAGACTAATGGCCAGACAGAGCAAATGAATAAGATCTTGCAGCAGCTACTCGGAATCTTCAATACTATAAGAATCGCTAACGTCATATCTACCGGCCCAGGTTGCGGCATGGTCACCACCCACGGACGGCCCAGATCGCAGACGGATGAGAAACTTTTCTCATCGGCCTGCGATCTAGGTCGTCCGAAGGTGGTGACCGGCCTGCAATTTTGGCCGTGCGATATCGGTTCGGCCAGCCCAACCTGCTCTTTTGAACTCGTGCCCGCTGTCGGAGGGCGCGGTGTCCCGACCCTCCTCTGCGTACCAAGTTCTTGCTTGGAATCAGTCTCTTGCTGACGTCGCGGCCAGTAGGCAAGTTTCCGAACCTCTACGATCTCTAGTACCTGGGCTGTACCTTGATGTGGACCGGTCCGGTTGGTGCCTGCCTCAGCAAAAAGGGGGGGGGGCGCGCCACAGGGCTTTCCTTTGGTCCACGCAGGCTTGGCGCCCTGCTGTATAACAAAGCACTTCCGGCCTGTGGCCGTGGTAGCCGCTGGGCTCGCCCTGGGACGCGAAAGTAGACAGACCGGCGCTGTCTTTCTACTGCGCGCTGGGTGCCTCTCTGCCAAGTTATGGGCTAGGTGTGAAGGCTCGTTGGTACAGTAGGACAAAAGACGAGTAGAAGAAAAAGAAAGAAAAGGGAAGAGGGGGGGGCAGCGAGCTGCCAGATCTTCTCTGCAGGTCTTGCTTTCTGCGACGGTCGGGTTTCGTGCACTCGTGCCATTCCCTCTCCAACGAACCCAGCAGAGCCATGTCCTCGTCGCATTCCTCGTCATCTGCGACATCATTTCGCTGCCACGTCCGCATCAATGGCTCCGAACCGTCCTCTTCACCCACCTCCACATCTTCTGCCAACACATCGGCATCGGCGGCAACAGCAGCGGGATCAGTGGCCTCTGCTATCCATGTGTTGTACCATTCCTTGATCTCCGCCTCCACTGGCGTGTCGTCCTCCCATGGAATGTGCACATCCCCCCCTTCTCCCCGCAAGGCCGCCCGCGACAGTTGGGTGTTCCAGTTGCTGTACACCAACTTGCCCAGCCTCTCCGGCAGCAACTTCGTACGCCTGCGGCTGAAAATAAGCTCGTGCAAGCTCCAATTCCGCTTGCATGCGGCGGAGGAGCTTGCCTGGCCCAGCAACTTGACTGCTTGTGGCTGGAGGTCCAACTTCCGGCAGTAAGCCTCCCACCACAGAGCCGCGGGCTGCACACGTGTTGCTTCCGCAGCTTCTTGTGATTTGAACGACCCGTCCAGGTTAATCCACATGTCAACCTGGTGGTTGAGCTCGTTACGTGTCTGTTGGTCGTCCAGCGCCCATGACAGAAGCCAAATGTTGAATCCGGTGTGCACCGCAGGATCTCGCAAGGCATTCGTGTGACGGTGCTCCGGATCGAGGAACGCAACAGCGCAATGCAGCTCGCTGGTCATGAATGCCCATCTCCGCATCAAGATGTCCTCGATTTCGGCCTTCTCGCCCGTCGTGATGCAATCAAGCTTGCGCATCTGTGCGACGAGCGAGTCCATCTTGAAATACACCCTCGACATGGACGGCCCCGGCGCATCAACGAGACGAAGCAGCATCACTACTGGCGACCATCGCCCAGAAGTCGTCCTTCCCTAACACAATGGCCGTCACCTCGTGGAACGCAGGGAGCTAGTCCGTCCTGACCATCTTCTCCACCCACACAGCGTCATCAACGCAATTCTTCAGCGGGTTCTTGGCCTTCTTCAAGGAAGCTAGCATCTCGTGGTTGGTTGCGAAACGGGTCACCCCCGACCGCTTCAACTTGGACTTCGGACTGTACACGTGGAACAACGCCCTTGCCTTGTCCACGTTGTGGAAGAACTTGCCCACTTTCAACCCTGCGTCCACAACTTTGCGCAACCACTCCAGTTCCTTGTACATGTCCTCGAGTGCCAAATCGAGGGCATGTGCAGTGCACCCCACGCGAAATATGTGTGGGTAGGCTGCCCCCACCATCTTGCCGGCCTTGACGCACACTCTCGCGTTGTCCATCACAACGCCCACCACCTCCTCCTCGCCGATCTCCTTGATAACCCCATCCAATATCCGGAAGTACGCCTCCGCATCCTTGTCCTTCCCCTCCATGCATGTGGTCTTCCAGAATACCGTTTCGATGGGGGATGACACCATCACATTAATGTACGGCCGGCTCCGCCTATCGGACCAGCCATCCATCTGCAGCATGCAACCGGTGCGCTGCCACTTCTTCATCATGGCGTGCACGTCCACCTTCGTTCTTTCGTAATGGCCATCCAACCGCTTCGTTTGCGCCTCATCCCTCTTGTATGGCATCCACGAAGGATGCGCCTTCTTCACAGCATCAACGAAATCGAGGAAGTATTCGTTGTCAACAATGCTGAACGGCTGGTTCCTGCAGAAAAGGAATCGGTCAAGGAACCGACTCGTTTGCTCGTTGCGTGTTACGATGCTGTCGGCGTCCCTCATGACCGTCTGACTTAGCGGCCGTCTGGAACGGGGTGCAGGCTGCACGGACTCGCCAGAGGTAGGCGCAATCGCGGCGGGTTCATCGGCCACAACCGCCTCTCCTGCCCCTACAGGCGAGTCAGTTCGACCTCGCTCGACGTCAGCGACCAGACTACTAACGGACGCCAGGCTGTTTGTGGCCGGTCTGCTTCTCCCCCCCGCGTGTATGGTCTCCGCAATGAACTTCCCCATGCGGATGCCCTCCTCCCTCCTAGCCCTCTCCTCCATTGACAGCGGCCTCCTGACGTGGTCCAAGCTGCACCTATTCAAGAAATGGGTCTTTATAACCGAGGCTGTGCCATCGAACCGGGTCTCGCAGTACTTGCAGACCCAGTGCTTGGAACCCTTGCCCGGGTTTGACCCCGCGACACCCTCGTTGATGAAGTGCTTCTTCAAGTCTTCATGCAACTGCTTCAAGTACGCCATAATGAACCTGCACACAACGTAAAAAACGGTGACAACACCTGTCAGCCTTACATGACATTGGGAAAAAAAAAAAAAAGCGACAGAGAAGATGAGAGAGAGAGAGAGGGGGGGAGAGAGAGAGACAGAGAGACATCTCTCTCTCTCTCTCTCTCTCTCTCTCTCTCTGCCGCATCGTTGTCCTTCCCCTCGGTTGAGAATATCGAACTTTCAGAAAAAACAAAAAACGAGAGAGAGAGAGAGAGAGAGAGAGAGAGAGGTTTGCATGCCTGCTGTCAATCTGTAGGGGGATCTTTCAGAGGAAAAAGAAAAAGAGAAAGAAAAAGAGAGAGAGAGAGAGAGAGAGAGAGAGAGAGAGAGAGAGAGAGAGAGAGGAGCAAGATCTACCAGCTTGCGAAGGAGGAGGAGGAGAGAGAGGGAGGAGCAAGATCTATCAACTTGCGAAATATTTTGACGAAATAATAAAAAAACTACGGAGGAGGAGGAGGAGAGAGAGGGAGGAGCAAGATCAAACAACTGGCGAAATATTTTGCCCAAAAAAAAAGAAAAGACGAAGGAGGAGGAGGAGAGAGAGGGACGAGCAAGATCTAACAACTTGCGAAATATTTTGCCGGAAAAAAAAAAGATGAAGGAGGAGGAGGAGAGAGATGGAGGAGCAAGATCTAACAACTGGCGAAATATTTTGCGAAAAAAAAAAAAAAAAGACGAAGGAGGAGAGAGGAGGAGGAGAGAGAGTGAGGAGGAGAGAGGAGGAGGAGGCGGATGATGAGGATCTGCAAACTTTCGAATTTCGAAACCCTAAAAAAAAAAAATTGACGAAGGAGGAGGAGGAGGAGGGAGGGAGGAGGAGGAGAGGAGGAGGAGAGAGAATGAGGAGGAGAGAGAATGAGGAGGAGAGAGGAGGAG